CGCCAACCGCAGCGGGGCCAGGGCTGGTGAACGCCGCGCAGGCGCCGAGGGGCCTTGTCCGCCAACGAAAGTTGCACGTTGCCCCGCCAAGGCTGGATGAGCATTGGGGTGCCCTTCTCGCATTCGGGCGGCGCCAGGAGCCATCGCCACTAATGCGGCGCCCTGCTTGCATGGCCTCGCCTGGGGTGCATCGCCGCGGCTCGGCGGCGCCAAGTGGCCAGCGTCATTGGCAGCGCCGATCCCGAGCGGACCCCAGGCATGAAAGTGCAGCGCTGAAGTGGGCCTGTCCAGCGCGCGCCCTCCAGGGAGCCCAGAGCCGCGGGGCCCAGGCTGGTTGGCCGCGCCTTGGGTCGGGGAGTGCGCGTCGACCAGCGCGCTGTGCGAAACCAGCGCCGAACGGCGCCATGCAGCTTGATGGCTCCGCCAGGGTCAGCGCAGGCCCTGACGCCAACGCACTGCGCGGCGCCGCGCCTGCATGGCGACCTCTGCGGCGCGCCGCCCAGCGTAGGGGCGGCGCCGTGGAACCGACGGCAAGAGCAGGTTCAGCCGCGAGCTGCGCTCACGTTGGAATGCGCCGCCCAGAAGTGCCGCGGCCCATTGGGCCAATACCGCGATGAGAACAACGCCGCAGGGTCGACGGCCTTAGCTTCTCGCTTCCAATTTGGCAACCCCCTGGGCCGCCGCCTGCGAAGTGCCAGACAAAGAGAGGGGCCCAGACCTGCTGACTTCGCACTTGACCAGGGCGGGTCAGGTTCCATGGCAGCGAACGAAGCCGATCTCGGGCGGCGCTTGCGTCCGATGTCTCCACGTTCCAGTGGCGGGGGCAAACGGCCGCTCGCGCCTTCGACGGGCCCAGCGCAGAGCTGGGCCAGTATTCGGCGGCCTCGCCCGAATTCGCGGCGGGATCAAGGCATCCGCCCTTGGCGAAACCAGCCCCAGCGGGGACATGGCTAGTATGCTTCGCGCCAGGGCGGGCGCGCCCAGTGGCCCATCCCTGGGGCGAATCCTAGCCCAGGCGTGGCCGCAGCTTGGAAACCTGGCTCCGACATGCAAGGGCCCCGAAGCCACCATCCTGAGCGGCGCCAGCCTCCGCGGGGCTAAGGCTGGGCGGCCTCGCCACGCATTGTCGTGGCCCAGGAGCCACCGCTCTGAGCGAAACCATCCCCGAGCGGAGCCAAGGCTGGCGGGCCTCGCCTGACTCGTGACGGGGCCCAGCAGCTAATAAGTCCCAGGGCGAAGCCAGCCCCAGCGGGGCCAGGGCTGGAGGGCCTCGCATCGAATTGGGGATGCCTTGAGGCACGCCCCTTGAACGAATCACGCCCCGAACGGGGCGTTGCTAGCGACCCCTCCCAGAATGGGGCTCTGCGCCAGGCTCTCTGGTTTGATGCAAGCGGTTCGCGGCGGCAGAGCGCGGCTGGCGTCATGGCGGGGCGGGGGAGCAGCTGTGCGGCGGGCGGTGTAGAATGGGTGAGGGGCTGTGTGGTTGGGGGTGATTGGTTTTGGTGTGGTGGTTGCAGTGCGCGGGTGTGGTGGTGGCGTGCGTGTGCGTGCGTGGGCGGTGGTGGTGGCGTGTGTGTTGGGGGGCGGCGGGGGTCTTGATGCGTGCCGACGCTGTGTCGGGATTCTGCCGCACGGCAAGGGCGCGCGCGCATCATCAATGTCATGTGCGCCCCACGCCACGGGCGCAATGTTGCGACCGTTGTGCGCTGTGTTCGGCGTTCGCGCATACGCGCGCTGCGCGCGCGCACGTTCGGGTGCGCATCGCGCCAACGGCGGCGGCGCAGCGCGCGCCGCCATGTGGACGGGCGCACATCACCTTTATGGTTGGGCCATCATCATTACAACCTTCCAGACTGCCGTTGGCAGGTCGCTTATCATCGCTACCTGTTGCCACCGTTTGCACTGCCCCAAGCACGTATCACCGCCATCATCATTCGACACCGCATCGCCACATCACGTCATTACTGTTACACAACACGCCGCCGCTGTTAGACCCCAGCCGCGCGGGTCAAGCTTGCCGGCCATATGCAGATTCGGTTTTGCGCTTGCTCCTTGTCAAGGGTCATTGTCCCATGGCCTTGGAGGGCGAAATTGTTGGGAGCGTCAACCTGGTCATCACCGACCCCAGCAAGCCAGTGGGCTACCAGCGACGGGTAGACAATATCGACATCCAGTGTTCTTTGGTCATCGTGGGCCCGCAGTTTGTAGATCCGCCAGCGCCGACGGAGATCGCGTCCCCCGTCTCGGAGCGCCCAGCCCCTGAAGAGCAGCAGGGCGCTGACCAGCGTGTCGCCCAAGATGCTGATCCTCCCCAAGCCGAGGCTGTTGCTTCATCTGATGATGGCCCCCCGCCTTACGACCCGTCCCAGTTCGAGTCGGCCTGGAAGGCCGACGAGGCGTATTTTGCGGCACTGTTCAGCAAGAAGGGCGGGCCGCCAGACGCCAAGGCAGGCGATAGTTCGCACGTTGGCCCGCCGCCTGTTGACAAGGGACCTCTTTTTCCAAGGCATGCAGACGCTCTGCCTAGCGAGCCCGAGGCGAGTTCGCCTGGGCCGTCTGCAGCGCGCGCGGGGTCCGCCAGGGACCCTGCGACCGTGCCGACGGCGAGCGCGCCACCTGGGCCATCGAAGCGCTTGCATCAGGGCACAGCGGCTTCTTTAGATTGCTTTACTGTTAGCGACAGCCCCATCCAGAAGGCTGCGGCAGACAATGGTTTTGATCCGTCTGCGGGGCGTTCTTGCGGCGCCGACGGCAACTCCAGCGAGCAGACGCCTGCAAAGCTGGAGTGCCCACCTGCTTTTTCCGCGCGCTCCAGAGCGGGTGGCGGCAGCAGCGAGCCTGGCGACGTCCCGCGTAGGAAGCGCGCTTGGAAGCTGAGAGCAAGCATAAGTGCGCCTGCCTCGCAAGACTCTGACCTTGAGCGCGATGCGAACGTGGTGTTTCAGAAGCGCCGCATCGGCGACACGTGCAGCGGTTCGCAGGGCGATGCCATGGCTCAGCTCGGGCACCAATTTGCGCCTGCCAGCCAGATACTTCGCGATCTCGGCCCGAGCTAGGCTCGGATGCTCCGTTTCGCCCTGTCAGTTGCCCTGGCAGTAGCACGACAACGACGACTGGGAGATATGACACAACAACGGCGGCGGCGCTGACGACGCCGACGATGAGGGGAGGAAGGTTGACGAGCTGAGGACGACGACGACGCACCTAATCATCATAGTGATTGTTTTTGCGCGGATGCCGCGCGAGCCTGGACAGCTTTCGCACCATAGGCGCTCGAGCGTGAATGGTTTAAGGGCCCAGTCGTGGCCCCATCGAGCATCGTGCGATCGGTCAAATCAACCATCTCGCTTCTCGGAGTCAGTATGGTGCGGCACTGCCGCTATTCAATGCGTTGCAGCTGGGTGCAATTGAAAACAGTGTGACACCTCCGCAATCGACGCCTTCATCCTTCTTCCTCCTTGCGAGCTCCTTGACCGCGTGCTCCAGTCTCATCCCTCTCTCGCCCTCCACCTCCGCTCGTCTTGTCATTCGACCTCGCCCATCTCACTTCGGCCCCCCATCGGCTAGCCCATGCCTCACTCATTATCCTCGTAGACTCGTAGACGCCCCTCTTCCTCCTCCTTCCTCCTCCTCCTCATCCGCCTCCTCCCTCCTCATCCTCCCCCTCCTCCTCCCCCTCCTCCTTCCTCCTCCTCCTCCTCCTCCTTATCCTCCTGCCCCTCCTCCTCCTTCTCATCATCATCACCCCCTCCCTCCTCCTCCCCTTCCCCCCCATCCCCCTCCTGCTCCTCCTCCTCCTCCTCCCCCTCCTCCTCCTCCTCATCCTCATCCTCCATTGTCCGATCTGGCCGATCTCGGTTACATCGGACTTGCCTTGGTCCGTCTGCAGCGGGGGCAGTTGCACGCCGTCGGCGTCGTCGTCGTCAGCTCTGTCGGCGCCCCCACTGCAATCGAATGGGCCCACGGTGTTTCCCTATGAAGCCAGGAGTGGACGGGGGGACGAGATAGGGGGGCAGCAAGGAGGGTAGGTGATGGGAAGGAGGACGGGGGGAGAGAGTTTTTATCAGGTCTGGTAGCGTCGGCCAGTTTTTGCTTGCCTTAGTAGCACGTCCACCACCGTGAAAGTATACTGTGCACGCGCAAGGGCGCCACCCGAACGGCCGTATTGCTGCGCTTGCGGGGGGGGGGGCGCAGTTGTTATCGCATGTCAGGTCCCGAGGGTCCAGCGGTTGTCTCGGGTGACCTTGGGGCGCCAACTCCAAGCCGTCGAGTGGGGGGCCGTTGCATCGTACTTCGTTTCTTGCAACACAGCGCGGTTGTTATGCCACAGTCTAGGTGTATGGGTCCGAATGGGCCCGCCACATTTTGGGTCAGTCTGAGGGGGGTGTTCGGCCGCTTAGGGTGTTCCAAAGTGGCGTCTGTGTGTCTTGGGATGTTCAGCCATCTTGGGGGCCACGTTGGCCCATCTGGGGTGCAAGGAGCCGCTCTCGGCCATCTTGGACTCCGAATCGCCCCCCCTTTGACCCCAGGCCCTAGGACAACAGTGGGCATGGGGGGGTTCCCTGCACAGGTGGCGCGCTCAAAATCAGCGCTTGCATTGCTTAGCTAATGGCGGTGCGGCCGCCTCAGCCCAGATGATCACGCGCATATGCGTCACGCCGCTGCGCCAGCAACCAATCGTTCCCTAGCTCATCTGCCCCCCGCAATTGCATTGCGTTGCGTTGCTCCACCACCGCGGCGCCACTCTTTGTCGCATTGCTCCCCACTCCTTGGGCCCCCCATCAGCGTTGCATTGCAATGAGGTGGCGGTCCAAAGTTTGCATTGCTTGCCTTTGCTCAGGTATGATGGGGGTGCCAATCGTAGCGCCTATGCGTTGGCTTTCCGTGCGTCGCACGGTAGCCGCTTTGGCTCGGAGGTGGGGCTGCCGCCCCGACTCGCCGTCATCTTCGCGGCCAGCAGGCCGCCACGCAGTGAATTGTTGCTGAGAGACCGCCGCCAGATGGGCGGCAAGCGTGCTAGTGGCGCTGCTGCTTCAGCGTCGCGCGGCCCGCCGAAGTCGGCCGCCCGCCGCGGTGGCAGAGGCAGCGCTTGTGCATCGGACTCGGGCTTTTGCCATCGTCGCGAGCAGCCAGTCGACGTCGCGTCGTCGAAGCGCGGCGGGCACCCCACGGCGCCGTGGATCGGCTGCGACAACTGCTGGGTGACCTTCGAGAGGCGCTACTGCGAGGACAACGCCTGGCCCGACATCTGCGAGCGCAGCCGCGAGGATCCAGACTTCAGCGCCGAGTTCGGCGCGAGGGTCACTGCAGACTTGGAGCTAGAGAGCCAAGTGGCAACGGCAGCGGAGCGTGGCAGCGTCGAGGTGGTCACGTACTACGGACAGGAGGTCAGCACTTCGATGGTGCAGCTCACCCCGAAGCAGTGGGCTTCACAAGTGGCTCCTCGCGGGACCGTTGGCATCACGCCCGAGATGTGCGACCTGATCCAGTCTCGCGTTCCGTCCTCCTGCCAGCCATGAGTCAACACCACAGGCGTGATCATCGCAGATCCAGATCAGCCATACGTCAGCATCAGGAACTACACGAGGACAGAAGTGAGGATGGCATCCACCAGGCTGACGCCCCAGCAGGCCGTCAAGGCGGGTGCAGAGACGGACGCCGTCAAGCGGGATGTGACGAAGCTGCGGCAGCAGCAGGCGGTCGCCGTCAGAGGGTTCGCAAAGGTCCCGACGATCACAGAGCTGCAGAACGTGGCGCTCGCGAAGGCCTCTGCAGCAGGGATGCTTCCCAAGGCCCCGCCGCCCAAGGCCAAGGCCGCCGTGGACGATCCCCTCATGGCGATTGGGAACGGCACATTGCATGAGGACGTGGAGTCAGTTTTCCCAGGCGCCAGCGGTGGCCAGAGAGCTGGGGGCGCTGCGCATTCGCCTGCGGGGGCACCCAGTGCTGGGATGGATTCGGGCATCTCTGCCAGCTCCGCGGTCGCTCTACACATCTCCAGTCAGCCCTTAGTCAAGGCGAAGTCGGGCGCGGCGGCTTCGCACCCAGGCCAGGTCACGGTCAGCGATTTGCAGGGGCACCGCCCACCGCCACGGCGACCCGAGTCAGGGGAGGCTCGCGGTTGTAGTCGAGATCGGTCCAGATCCCCAGCGCGGAGTTGTATCTCTGCGGCGGGTGACTCAGCACCTGGGGGCAGGGCCAGCAGCAGGGGTCCGCCTGGCTCTGCTGAGAAGGCGCGCTTCGACGGCTACAAGAACGACCTGGTGATCCACGAGATCTTGGATGGGAGCCTCAGGGGGGACCGATCCTACGGCTTGAAGAGGTTTAAGCCGAAGTCTCCCAGCCTTTCCGTGATGGTGAACAAGCTCACTTCGAAAGTTGAGGCGGCGAGCGCCCTGTCCACCAACAGCAGCACCATGCAATGGACCCAGGTCCTCACCCACCTGAAGGAGCTCAGCCCAGACGATGTGGAGGCCACGGCTGTCTTTCGCAAGACGCTCTTGAAGAAGTTCGTGCAGCACTCTATCTCCGATGACGGGGTGGTCATTGAGACTCTGATCCCGTGGTCTCCCCACCCTGATGACTTCGACATGACTGCCCCCAAGGTGTCGTCTATGAAGGGCATGTCTGATAGCGAGAAGGTTGACCTAGTTCGAGAGGTGCTCTTGGATGACATCGTCCTTCCCCAGTTGGAGGATCCTGCGAGGGTCACCTTCCCCCAGGCCATTGGCAAGCTCCTCAAGGATACGTTCCCGAAGCTCGGTGACCAGTGCCCATCCGAGATCGCTGAGTTCTGCAAGCACGTCCAGGCGCTTGGCATGCTACTGTTTCACTTACCGAACAACGACCCCCTGAGCTTCGCGGAGTGTGATCCCCACATGGGCGTGATGATTGCACTCTGGACTGGCGTCACCGACGCTGCCGAGTGGCATCCTGTGGCTGAGGTGCTGGGTGACAGCGCTCCGTGGGCAGACTACAAATCGACCTTCAGGAGGGCAGCCTCAACAGACATTCAGCTTGCCCCCAGGATGAAGAAGACCATCGAACAGCTCGAGACTACAGAGGGCAACACGCTTGAAGGCATCGAGTTCATGAGCACCGTTCTCGTGGAGATCGGGTCGTGGAGAAAGGTGTGCCGCGGGTCATCGAGATCGACAGGCGGCGCAGGGATCGTCATGCAGGGCAGGCTCGAGAAGGCCACCGCAGACCTCCTGGGGATGACCGCGGATTCAGTGGACGTGAAGGTCGGGGAGGCGCTGGTCGAGCTGTACTCCAAGTTCGCACGCGTGAAGGGGTTCGAGCCCGACACCGCGGACGACCCGTGCGGAAGCAAGTGCGGTGATCTCATCAACGACGTGGACCACGCATCGAGGTGCCGTGTCGAAGGCAGCTTCAGGAAGATCATCGAGAAGTACAACACTGGTGCTAACTGCCATCAGGTGGCCACTGAGATCAAGGCGTTCGTGGAAGAGAACAAGGGTATGCAGATGCCGCTGCTGGTGGACGCCGAGCACCTCGTCAAGGCCACTCTCCACGTCGCCGATCACATCGGCCTCCTGCTGTACGACGCGCAGCTCGACACGCTGGGAGCCGTCGGAGACCTGATCCAGGATGCGATCGACAAGCACGCGCTGACCGCCACGATGCTGTCCTGCGTCACGTCTGACCCCTCGTTCAGGCCCAGCCTGGGCGCCGTTTCAGACCGCCTCGCCGACGCGTTCTCGGTCATCCAGGTCGCGAAGTACGCTGTGGCCTTCTACGAGGCGGGCGACGAGGACGCCGCCGAACTGCGCAGTGCTTGGGAGCGGCTGGACAGTTCCCTGGACGACGGCACCCCATGCGCCTCGAAGCCGCACGATGACATCCTGCAGGAGCTTGGCTGTTCCAAGTATGAGGGTTTCGTTGCTCGGGCCGAGAAGTGGCACCAGGTGGCCAAGGACCTCTGGTCCGAGTATGCGCAGAGCCAGATGGACCAGCTGCTCGGCGAAGGGCGCGTGCTCTTCGCGGTCTTGCAGAAGTTGTCGGGAGGGATGTTGAACGGCAGCCACTTCATGGACGGCTTCGCTGGGGAGGCGACGGACTTCGCTCAGACGATCGGCCACTTGAAGGTGGGGCTCTTCAAGCAGACGGGGGTCTCGAACAGGCTCAAGGACGCCCACCGTGCTGTGCAGCACAAGCTCGGACACGCCGTCGAGGAGCCGAAGCGCTTGAAGGTGCCACTCGAGAAGTGGCAGGCCACTCATGACCAGTGGCGCGATGGCCTGGCGAAGGCCGACGTGACGTTGACGACGGCAGCCATCGCCCAGCGCGCGAAAGATCGCAAGACTGACGAGGTCACCAAGGCCAACCTCCAGCGCGCGCTGGACCAGATGCAGGCCAGGAAGGTCAACATCGAGTCGCTGCCAGCATCCGTTTGGGAGCAGGCGCAGCAGACGCTGGCTGCTTGAGGCGCCGTGGCGCCCACAGGCGGCCGCCGTCAGAGGAGGAGGAGGAGGCGGAAGAAGAAGACAAGGAGGGGGAGGAGGGAGGGAGGAGGACAGGGGGGAGGAGGACGAGGAGGAGGAAGACCAGGAGGAAGGACTCAGCAGACGAGCAAGACGGCGGCGAGCACGGCGGGCAACAACAGCGCGCTGCTCCTCCTGACCTTCCGCCGCTCGCTGCCGCCGCTCGCCGCCGCCGCTTTTTCCCTTTTCCCTTTCTCTCCTCTCTGTTTTTCCCTTCCCTCTCTCCTCCTTCCCCTCTACCTCGCCCCGCCGCCTTCCTTTTGACCTCCTGCTCCCTCGGCCTCCCTTCTCTCTCGGCCCTCCTGCCCCCTCCTGCTCTCTCGGCCTCGGTCGGGGTAGACGTCGATGCGAGCGTCGATCGAGCAGTCGTGGGCCGTTTCGCGTTCAGTCGAGGCGGCCATGGTTCATTTCATGCGCCTCGGCTGGGCGCGGAACAGTCCATGGCTGTTCTGTAGGCCACCCAAGGGAGGCCATGACTACATCGTAGGCCGCAGGGTAGGGCCATCAAACCCCATGGCTAATTTCCTCCATCAAAACCCATGCCAGCCCCCACAACCGCATAGACAGCCAAGGGAAGTCTCAAGCGTAGGCCCCTTACAAGGATACCAGACGTATATGTAAATATGTGTAGATAACTTTATGCATGCAAACATACATACATACATACATAGATAGATAGATACATACATACACGCATACATACACACATAGATACATACATACATACACACACATACACACATACACATACCTACCTACCTACCTACCTACCGACCTATCTACCTACCTACCTACCGACATACATACATGCATACATGTATATACCTACATACATACATACATACATACATACATACATACACGCATATTTACCTACCTACCTACCTGCGTACCTACCTACATACGTACATACATACATATGTACATACATACATAGACACCTACACACATACACATACACATACATACATACATACATACATAAATACATGAGCTTAGGCTGCTACCCGTGCCAAGATCAGTTTTCCTTCGGCATGCTCCGCGGCTTCGAAGCAAATCAAGAGAACGAGCGGCAGGCGGTGACAGGGCAGCACGAGGGCGCTGACCTGAACAGACTGAGCGAGCGGCATTCAAGACTCTGAGCCCCCTGGGTTGGCGAAGTGACGCCCAGGAAGGTGGAAGATGGGGGCGGCTGGCGGGTCCTGGGAAAAACTTGAGCATAAGTAGCGACATACGGCATTGAACGCAGCAGGAGATCATTAATGTGCAAGCACAACGCATGAGCTTAGGCTGCTACCCGTGCCAAGATCAATTTTCCTTCGGCATGCTCCGCTGCTTCGAAGCAAATCAAGAGAACGAGCGGCAGGCGGTGACAGGGCAGCACGAGGGCGCTGACCTGAACAGACTGAGCGAGCGGCATTCAAGACTCTGAGCCCCTACCCACTGCCATCCAGTGTCTTGGCCTTGGCCACCACCAGCGCTGCGAGATCTTTGCAGAGCGCCGCAGGGTAAGGACACGCTCTCGAAGTCCAGAACACACCGAGCGGGTCTTTACCCTTCAGTGTTATGTGCGCCTTACCCGTGGCACTACACCTTTTTTTGACAGCCTGTGCACAGGCGGAGGGACGGCTGCGCTGGCCGCCAATTGAATAGCAAAAAGGTTGTCGCCTTTTTCCAGGGGACCTGATACTGGAAGTAATCAACAGAAGCCCACTCGGCGTGAGCTTCGCGGGCCCTGTCCAGAAGCTCCGGGACCAGCCAGAGGCGAGACGAGCGAGGGTTCTCGAGAGAGAAAGGGACTCCCGCCTCGACGGCAGCAGCCAGCAGCCGCAGAACATTAGCGAGCAGACGATTGGCGATCCTAACTTTCTCAGCGTCCGCCGCCGCCAGTCGAGGGAGGCCGTGCACGTTTGCGTCGTCCCTGAGTGGCGGCGGACCCCGTCCATCATTCTTCCTTGCCCGGCTCCACGTTTTGCAGTCCAGGCCCACATGCACCCCCGCGACCTCCTTCCGTGAGATCCTCAATACCAGACTGTCGATGAGGGGTTCATCAAGAAGGTCGGCTCGCGGGTCATCAGCGTAGTCCCAGCCTTCCGAAGCCCAGCCGGCGGCGTGGACGGCCTTGGCAAAGGCGGCGGAGCCGCACATGAGCTCGACGAAAGGCCTGGCACGGGCGCGGGCTGCGGCACCCTGGCAGAAGGTGCGGGGCGGCGCATGCTGGGCGCGGGCGCCGCCTGCAGCCGCGCCGACGGCGTGGCCGTCCGCGGCCTCTGGGGCGGCGCCAGGAGCCTCTCGAGCTCGGCGTGCAGCTTCGCGGGCGCCGCCTCGGCCCTGCGGCGGACGTCGACCGGGAGCGCTGCGAGCTCCTGCTGCGCCAGCGCATGGGCCTCGTAGCGCCTCATCGTGTAGTCGCTGGCCCACCGCCCGCGCCTCTTGATCTCGGCCATGGATCGATGCCTCTTGAGGCGGTCGTGCGACGGGCCCCCGTGGCGGAGCTGGTAGGGGACGTACCTGGTGGGCACCTCGGCCAGCTCCAGCGACTCGCGCCACAGGACGCCGAGCTGCGCGGCGGTGAGACGGAACAGCGGCGCCTGCGGGTCTCCCGACCTCGCGCGCGCCAGCAGCGGGCCCAGCCAGGGCACCTCGACCGAATCGAGGAGCAAGCTCTCGTCCGACAAGCTGGTCTTGCTGTACTCGCCCCTCGCGCTGGGGTGCAGGTTGAAGCCGCAGTCCGTGCACGAGCCCGAGGGGAGGAAGAGGTCCTGCTCGCGCAGGCCGACGGCCTCGGAGGGTACACCAAGAACATCGTCACCACCATGAGCGCCGCGTGCGGGGACCCCAGCTGCGTGGCCATCACCAGTGCGACCAGCGCGACCACCTGCCAGGGCATCGGCGGGCGCGTCTGGCCTGGGTCCAGGCGCTTCCAGCCCTGGAGGGCCCGACAGAAACGCGGCAGGCGGAGCGACCCCTTTCGGGAAAAGTCGGGGTGCGCCGAGATGTACGCGGCATATGTTTTCAGGACGGCGGCTCTCTCGAGCCCGATGCTCCAGGCGTAATCGGCGTAGTTCATCAGCGCCAGGTCGACCTGAGCAGCGGTGTGCAGCGGCAGCTCGAAGAGGTCCACGAACGTCTGGAAGTCGTCGAGGGCGTTCCTGTAGTATGCCTGGGTCTCGGGCGCCGCCGCGTTCCACTCCAGGAAGCTCCTCTCGTCCCCCCCCACCATCGCGAACGGCCCAGAGGCCCGCAGACGGTGAGCGATCCTCTCCTCCTTCGTCGCCCCAACGAACGGCCTGCCCTTCAGGAAGCTCTTCTGTACCATCTTGGGGCTGGCAGCCGGGCGCTTGACGGCCACCGCGCGGGGCAGTCGAGATACCGCCCGACTTGGCATCCCAGCGCCTCGACCCTTCATCGGAGGGGTTCAGCTCCGAAGGTATCCACCGATGCTCGAACCGCGACGCAGTGGCGACGGAGTAGGCAGCCTCTCTGCGGCAGCACAGCAGAAGGGGATAGGAGGAGCATCGCCCACGTCCGAGCGCGAGCAAGGTGCCGAGGTTGTCCCCGAAACGCAGATGACGGAGACCAAAGGAGGCCTGTGCCCTTGTGATATGACGTGATGTCATGTTCGAAGCCCTCCCCTCGATAATCGCGATGGGCTCCTTGACGTGAACCCTGGCCGAGACCACCTGCTTCCACTGGGGGCCCTGCAGAGCCTGGACGGGCACCTCTGAACTGCGGGTTGAGCTCCCAGGGGTCCTTGACAAGGTCCATGCTGGTGCTCCCGGGGGCCTTGACGGTCTCGATGTCGCTGAAGACGTCGAACGGCCCCTCCGAAGCCTCGTAGCATCCAGAACGGACTCCCAGAGCTGACCGGCGTGCCGAGATAGCCGAAGGCATGCGATATCTCCATCTCTCACTGACTGACCCGATGCGCTTGACAAGATCCGATGACAGTGTTGTCTGGCACGTCGCCATACCCGTCAGGCAAGCGTCGTAGGCGAAGACCGTCGGCGACCACTGAAGCCGAAGGTTAGCCGACATCAGCGGCAGCAAGCGACGGCACTGCTCGACTTCGCGGGCAGCTGAGGGCCAGAGACGGGCTCGCACGTGATAGCAATCTCTGACGAAATCATACAAACTCCTGAGGATCGAGAGCAGCTCCCTCTTCAGCATCAAATGATCAATGAGATGACCCACATACCTCTCCACCTCCCTCCCCGTGACTCTAGGGCGCTGCTCTAGCCACAGTGAGGCCTGGCGGAGGCGCTCGGAGCGCTCGGGCCGTGAGAAAACTCGCCCAGACGCACCATCGATCAGGCGGCCGAGGCTGGTGAAGACGTCGGTGGCCTCAACCACCTCGTGGATCTGCACGCCATGCTTCCTCCAGGCGTCGCAGATCTGGTGCATCAGGACATTGCATTTGACAGGGTCGGTGCCGATCACGTTGATGTTATCGCAATAGGGTAGGAGGCAAGGGACACCCCCGTCGAGCGGGGGCACCGGACCGTGATCGGTCAGCACCCGCGGGAACCCGAGCCCCGAGGCAGAGCAGCAGACGTGCGCATTCGCACGCTGCCCAAGCCAGAAAGCCCAAGACCAGCCCATCGGGACGACCCGCAGGAACGGCCAGACCCAGCCCCCTGAGGGGCCCTCGGGAGTGTCCACTGCCTCAACCCCCCATTGCGACAACGAAGCCTGCGACACCGGCGGCAGCGAGAAGAACACTCCCAGCTCCTCCCTCAGGCCTAGAGCGTAGAAGTAGTTGCGTACATCAGCCTGGGCACAGAAGAGCTTGGTGCCGAAGCTGCCGTCCTCCTCACGATCATCAGGTAGCTGGAGGCGACCGTGCGCAGCCGATGTCCCCATGGCCAGCGGCGGCGGGTCGCGAAAACATCGATTTGGCACCCTAGCGTCCCAGACGAGACGCTGTGCTCCACTCTTCTTGG